AAAATATTCAGAATTTTTCAGTTTATTTAAATAAAGCTTTACAGAGGACGAAATATTTTTTTAAAGATTTAGATTTTGCAGGTAATAGATTGAAGAAAGTATTACACTTATTCAGCTATTATTGTGCTTATTTTTTATGGCATAGTTAATAAAAAACAATGTGTATTTTGCAAGAATTTGAAATCTAGTGGCAAACTTGTAGTTGGAAAAGGGTAAGAAAATCATTGGAATCAGCAAACATTTTGATGTAAAGCCTGTTCATAAAGTTTGCTAGGTAGCATTAGTAGATATACAATTATTTTCAAAGATTAATAACTATTAGAAGGTAAACATCCTTCTACTTTCTTAAAATGTTTTCATTTTAAATTTTGTTCTTGTAATTACATCCTCTTTAAATAGAGAACCTCCTGTATGTTAGAACAGAAGAATTCTTATGTGGCAAGCAGCCATCTCTTGTTGACCAACAGCCTGCTTTTCACCCTTGGGGTCTCTAGTTCTTGTATGCTCTCAGTCCGTATTGATAATTAGTTTTCCTTTTCAATTGACAAAGTTAAACTTTCATACTTGCCTGAATATAAAATGTTTTCCCGCAGCTGTTTTAATTAAAAGAACTTAATGTATCCTAAAATCACACGTTAACAAAAAAGTACTAAAACTGTCAGTTGTTGGTGTTTTCAAGTTCTATAGTAAATGGCATAACCCCTTATGTCTGCTATCCCCCAGAAATTGCTTTCTGTAATGTACAAAGGAAGCTTCAAGAATCCACTTTTAATAGTTTTCTTGCAGTTCCAGTTAGCAGTGAGTTCAGTAAAGTTAGTAAGCCTAACTACTATTGTTGGAATACATGCTATTAATTTTACTGTTTACAATTAGCATTTCAGTATGACTTTTTTCAAAAGTACCTAAATATGCTTTACGTCCTTAGATAATGAATTGCTCATTTGAATTCATGAAGAAAAATTAATTAAATCAATACTTTTTTATTATCTCCATTCTTTAACCAATAATTTGCCAACCATTGACAGGTAATTTTTCATCAAACTAAGATCTAAAAGATGATAGCCATTTTAAAAAATGGCATTGCATTGTGAATTTTATAGATAGCAACTGATTAATAAAATCAAAATCGCAAAAAGCATCCATAATAAAACACTTACCATTTTTCCTTGTTCTCTCAATGTACAGAGCAATATGTTTTAGCTTCAAAAAACATCTGAGAATTGCAAAAACGGCACTGCAGGTGTTTTTTCCATGTACACAGTTATCTTTTTTTGTTGTAAAAAGTTAGAAAACTGCACAAGTTTGAATGCATAAAATTCAATCGTTTAGAATGTAAAGTTTCATGTTTTTTTACTGTTGGACAGAATACTGTATTTCTAAAGAAATGCTTTCTTTTTCATAAGCCAGCAAACTCCATAATCCCATTATGATTCCTTAACAAAAATAAAACATTAGTGCCCAGCACAGGTCTGCTGCACATGCACATACTTTGGATTCTGCATAAATACATTTTGGCAACTTTCTTGGTGTTGCCTACTTTGGTAATTTATTGCTTGTGTTGTGAATACTATTCAGGATACTGAATAATCAGAAAGTACCCTTAAATCCTCTAAGAGTTAATGAAAAAGTAAGGGTCGTCTTTATTCCAATAAATGTCGTATGTTAGTTGTGTTTTAATAATTTCCTGCCTTTGTTGTCTTTCGTGCACTGAAATAATTATAACACTAGAATTTTTAATCCAATAATAATTGCTATAAATATTCAAATGTTATTAAAACATTATACTTCTGAAGTCAAAGAGCGTAGTGAAATCCATATATCATTAGACAGTTTGAACAGTTGAAACCCAAATATTCTTGTCTCACATTTTGACAAGTCGCTTGTAACTCAGGATGCATAATCTTCAAAATCTGTTTATATCTTTAGTTATTTTCTGAAGTTTGATGATAGCTGACAATGGACATCATACTCCTTAATATGAAATATGGTTTAATACAGAAATTTGTTAAAATTAAAGTGTAGATATCTTTATTTGTTATCCTTTTTGCTGGATACTTCGAATTGTTAAATTGCTGAACATTAAGGTAACCCTACGTTTACGTTACGGTAAATGTTTTGGTCCCAAATTCATAGCATTTGTCCTGAAAAACAGCAGTATGAAAAAGTAAGAGTATAAATGCCAATAAGTATATTAAGTAAGCATTGATTATTTAAGTAGCATTGATTGCAAACTGAGAATGCAAGCATAAGGTAACAGACGTGTGCCATACTGGCCACATAAACAGGAGATTCCCCGTCTAGCATTCCTTAGAAAAATTGTAATGGGGGAGTTCTATTTCTCATTCCTGTATTTCTCTCCCCAATCCCCAAACATACACATAATTTTTGCTCACATTTGCAGTTCAGACTTTCACTTACAGACAGCACTGCAATTTTTAATTAACATAGTAATTTGATTGTGATTTGAATGTATAATATATGCATATATTTTTTAATTATTGACAGTGCATTATATATATTAATATGCATCATCCCCTTGCACATTTACAACATCTAAAAATAATTCTTTTATCATTTTCTGAAAGCAAAATTAAACTGCATACTGTATCAGTTTTTGCAAACATTTCCAAACCCATAAAGAAATTGGAAAGTTGATATTTATTTTCTAAAAAAAAATAAAGGTTAACAAAGCAAAACTCATCCCTTCAAATAATCTATCAACGCATTGATATTAGTTTATAATTACCTAACAAACTTATCCAGGAAATGCTTCCCAGTAAATTTGTCACCTTTTCATCCACTGAATCAGTAATGTATACAGAGCAGCTTGTGCACTGCCGCAAAGCTTCTCTTGAGACCCTAGAATTACAGCCTCACAAGCTCACTTTAAACAAAATATCCCCGATCATATTAATACATAATATTGACCTGTCAAACCTGTGCAATGAAAAAGGCTTCTCATGAAGAATCTAATGCCCAATGTAAGAGGTTACAGGGCTATATCAAGACCTTTTGGAGCCCCTAACAAATTAAAAGTTTTTGGTCCCCACCAATTTGTTTGCGGCAGTTATTTCTTCATTCCGTCTTTCTCTCAGTTTCTGTTCAATTGCACCCTGCATTCCATGGTAAAACCAGCTGTGGAAAATTTTTGGCGACCTTTTTGTAATCCCTTCTTTGTGTGACTTACCTCACTTGTCTGACAGTCACTTGTATAACATGAGAGCAAGCCCACAAAATTCATTGTCGCAAGATTGCACCTGTTGTTGGCAAGAGTCTTGAGCACCATGTAGGTGACAGTATGACTTCGCTTAGTTCCAAGCCCAATTTTGATGGAGAACACCTCAAGGGGATGGGTCTGAGGGTCTCCCACCCTGAGAGGCCATCACCATACTGATATGCTATAGTTGGAGATGTGTTCAAAATAATTTAGGATTACAAATTTATTAGAAAATGAATACTGTGTTTTGATTTATTCCTTATTTTTTAGAAAATACCATATATTATGATTAAAAAATAAATTATTATTTTTTGATTTATATATATATATTGACCTGCATACCGCCTCCACCACAATAACAATAAAATAATTTATTTGTAAAAAAATTTTTAAAGTTATAAATAGCATCCCCGAATTCCGAACTTTGAAACAGGTCACCTTACTGAACATGTGACATTAAAATTGTCATTTGGAATGCTTTCACAAACATCTCACTGAAGTATGAAACTGCATAAAGGAACACACAAACCTCAGTATTCAAATTGTGTACAGGAAGCTATCCAGGGTTTAAAAAGCTCCTAATATTACTGATTAACATCTATTACGAGTATCAGAAATGGGAATTGGAGAATCTCTCTTAGTTTAGTGCATACCTGACAGGTGCTTGATATGTTTTGTGCTAGTGATGCAACAGGCATCAATCTTGAATTCCTCTCAAACGCATCCCAGCATGTCATAATCAATACCAATGGCTACATTACATGTGTGATCTTTTCTCACAGTTATGTTAAATCCTATTACAAAGGCAGCATAAATATACAGTTTTTGACAATATACAGTTTAACTAACATGGAAAGAATGACATGAAGTTTAATCAGATGGGTCATCTCAAATAATATGTCTGAAACAAGTGAATGAAGAAACAAGTGACTGAGAGTTCGACACGAAGATAACCATTGATGCTTTCTTGAAAATTGAAGGCTTGTTGAAAAAGGAAGTCATTGCTATCTTTCTGTGTTCACAGCTTTAGCATGGTTAGGCACAGTTCGCTTTAGGAAAAAAAAGGGGGGCTGCACACAGTTTTGACAAAGCTCAAAACATATATTAACACCACCACATAAAGGTTTTCTGCATCCCAAATGCATACATTTCGATCACTCCTCTTTACAGATATGTGGAAAATGGCCTCCTCACTAAAAATCTACTTTCCATGCAAAACTGTCCTTCCCTAGTTTCTTTTAGAATTCAACACAGGATAGGAAATGAAGACTCTGATTTTAAGCGCTCAGCATCTGCAATAGCTGCATCTCATGATTTTGCCTGAAAACATTAGAATATTTCACTCATTCCTTTGTAACTAATTCCCTCTGTTGCTCCTTGTTACTCATCCAAGTTGCATATTGTATTGGAAGAAAAAGTCATAACTCATTGCAAGAAAAATTTACTTGTAGTGAGCCCTGAAAATGACTCGTAAGCAATATACATGTGATACTTATCTTTTCCTTGGCCGTTGTTCAAAACAATAAACAGGATTAATTTCTGTGGTTCTGAAAATAAAACATTCTTTTCTATGTTACTCAAAAATTTGCCTATTGTTTACTATCTGAAATAGCAACTTTTGTCACTCAATGTCTCCAGCTTCTTCACTGTGAAAAATTACTGCTCTCACTGAAGAGCTCTTAGCTTTTTCCTTATCATAATTCTATTAGGAATATCATATTTATGCTTTTAATAGCTACTTTTAGGTCATTTTCTTCTCATTAGTGCTTTTGTTTATTTTTAGGTGGTAATCAGTCAACTACAGTGATAAACACTCCTAGAGGTCAAAGCATTGGGGTTAGTTGTAGCATTTGTTTTTAATTGCTTATTGCAATACTGATGCATTTATTTTTCAATTTTACCTAGCAGTACTATATAAAGTTGAAATTCTGATGCATTTTTATTTCTGAATGTCTTATATATTATTCTTTTATTTAGATCATAAAGCAGACCTTGCAGTGTGGGGGGACAGTTCGTTACTTAGGACCTAGAAGTGCTGCTGGCAGCTCATCCCAGACTACTGCTCGAAGTTCTGCACCTGAAGTTATAGACCTTAGTGATGATGATGAGCCATCCATTAGAAAAAATACTGGTAACTCAAATACCTCTGCAAATTCATCTGAAAGTGAATCAGGTTGCGGTGATATGGAAAAACTTGAAAATTCTCAATCACCTATAATTTTACCTGGAAAACAAATAACTATACGAAAATTATCTCCAGCTGTTCAGCAAAATTCAGTTCAGCTGCCTAGCTCCAAAGATAAATGTGAACTTCCTCAGGTACTTACAAAAAACAAACAAATTACAATACTGCCAATTAATCCTACAAATCAACAAAACAGACAAAAGTTTGCACCACAGCTGGCACAGCCAGTTAGAGTTCAGCAGATGTTACTTCAGCCTCAACAAGGAAAACGAAAACCTGTACAAAAAAATTCTTCAAAGATTCAGATGACTCCTTTGCTGGCTGGAAAAAATATTCGACCTCAGATCACTATTACCCAGCCAACATCCACCCATTCAAATGTGCATTCTCAAAAATTGCACCATCTAATTCACAATGCACCCAAAACTAATGATATTTTAGAAAATATTGTAAATGAAGTAAGTGCATCATCTCCCACTAAACAAACTTCAGATTCTCCTAGTATGCAAATTACTGATAGAAATCAGGCTTCAACTACTGCCACTCATTTACAGATGCAAAATGTACAGCAGAATCTTCAAAACTGTAAAAATGTTTCAACATCACTATCTGAATCTGTGAAAACTCATACTGTTTCTCTCCCTAAATCTCTAGCATCACTTACAAACACATTAAACCCAAATCTTCAGATATCTTCGCATGATCCAGAACAATCAACAGTGCCAGATTTATTGCCTCAAAAGTCACTTTTTCATCAAAATTCTGCTCTTCAGGGTGTTCCATCTATATCCAGTCTTCAGACTCAGATTTCACATAATACAGTTCAGCCATCGAGATCTGTATCAAAATCACCTCAACTTTCTAAAACTGAATCACCGGTTTCACAGATGAATGTACAAATAGCCTCCAATATGAAATCATCTACACAGCCACAAACTAAATTTTCGGTATCACAGACAACATCTCCATCTCAAGCTGCCACTCAACATCTTCATAATTCTGTTCAGTCTTCTTTTCAACAAACAATGGTATCTCAGTCAAATGTTCACCATACGCAACAAAAACAGCATAGTGAGCAATCTGTGTCATTTTCTTCACATCTGCATTCTTCAAGCCCAAGGCTATCTTTGTCCTCATCACATCAACCTCAAAATGCATCACAAAACCAGCATAATGCTCCTCGGAAGAGAAAATCTGTCAATAAACAACCATCAAAAAAGTCTCAGCATCAGCTTTCACTAATGACACAGAATAGTGCATTACAGCCTCAAGCAGCAGAAGCTGCACAGCAATTTCTTCAATCTCAGTTATCTGATCATCATTTGTCTGAAAATCATTTCCCTAACTTTTCACATCATATGTCTAATTCTGATTTTCAGGCATTTTCTAATTTTTCGTCACACAAGCAGGTTTCTCATATACAACATCCTCAACCCTTGCATCCACTACAACATAGTCAAGAACATTCACTTCCAGCTCACTTGCAGCATATGTCTCATTTGTATCCTATGCTTCCACATTCTACTGGAAGTCCATCTTTACCAGATATACAGCCTCCTGCTCCAAGAGCTTGGCCAGTACCACAGCCGTCAGTGTCTTCATTACATCCATATAGTCAGTCTTCCCCGTACTATAGTTCTGGTCAAGAGAGTAGTCAGTTTTCATTTCAGCCATCATCATTTCCTTTACCTCCATCATCTGTTCCATCTAACTTAATTCAGTCAGACTGTAATGTTGCTGCATCTGAAGGAGATAAATCCTCCAGAATCAACTCATCTGATTTGTGACTTTTGTCAGTTTTTAACTGCCACCAGAAAAGAAACAGAGCTTCATCAGATTATTTGGCACAAGATGTTGAAAGCTGGCACACTTCTGGTTTGTGTGTTTGCGTGTGATATTATGATGGCATTTTATGCATCAGCTGGAAGTTAATGATTTAAAAGACTTAACAGTGGATGATTTGCCGAGAGTGAGGTTTTCATCAGTGAAAATTAAGGGAGGAATCTTTTATGGCTTTTATAAAAGAAACATAATATTAAAATTGCTGTAAACGGGTTGACCACATTCACTTTTCAATAATGCCGCAGTGATGGACAGTGTTGTGTAAAATGTGGTAACGTAGTAACTGTTTATCACCATTGCTAATGTATTTTATCATTGTGACGTATGTCAAGGTATGTGCATAACATCTATCTTAGAGTAGATTTCTAATCTCATAATTGTTGTTTGTCTTCTTTTTGCCATCCAAAGGCTTCAGGATTAATTTCTGCTTATTAAAGTACATGTTTTTTAATTTAAAAATAAATTGAAATTTAAAATTTGTTACAGTCAAAATGTAACCTTCTGAGCAGCATGGCTTCTGTGATCTGCTTATGAAGAGCTGCACTTAGTGAGCATTTATAAGGTAGATTGTATAATTATTTATTTTACTCTATTTTACATCCTTCTGTTCTTTAGAATGATAGATCATAAATGAAAATTAGAAAAAATATTTTATATGACAAAATAATATGTATTAGGTGACAACAGATCACTGAATCGTGCCACTCAGATGGTAAACATTGGTTTGAAATTTTAATTTATCATGCTTGTATTAACCTAATTTTAAGTTTTATTTGTAATATGCTGCCATCATCATTTTGATTTCATCTGTTAAGTGAATTAAATTTTGAGGGAAGCCCATATGTTTCAAAATTTAAATTTAAATTATTTTTTTATATTTGAATAAGGTTTCAGAATTAATCAAGTTTAAATTTTGTTCTATTTCAACACGTTACATGTTTTAACTGTTTCTCTTTATTAAAAGTTGTAAAAGTTATAAATGAATTTTACTTTATAGTGTTTCAGGTATTGCATTTGGGAGGAAGGGAGTTGACGTTTTGCACAGTTGAAAAGTTTAGATTTTAGAACTTCTAATTAGAATGAATTTTTGACATGCTTAAAATATCATATTTACATGGGTATTATCTCCTTTTTATACTAATTTTATTATACAAAAAAAAAAAAAGTGAAACATTTTTCTGAAGTGTTGATAGATAAACTATAAGTAACTATCCCAGTATTATTTGCTTAAAAGAAGCCTACATAGCAATGTCAACGTCACAGTATCTAACAAGATACCTTCATTTCTGTTTCCATGTATCTTGAATCTTGTTCACTCTTATGTTGTTCACTGCTAATCACTAGGCCTCAGAAAATATTTAGTTCTGCTGAGCCTAATCTCTTAGTTGTTTACTAAAGTTTGCAAGTTGTCACCATTATCTTTGTTTTCATTACCATTCATTATCTTCCCATGTGTAATGATCTTCAGAACTATGAAAAGTATTAGATATCCCTGTTTTTTTTATGCTATTTACTATTATTGCTCCATCAGTCATAGCCCATGCATCCGCAAGAAAATCAAAGCAATGGAAGATCTCTGGATTTTTTCCAGTTCTAGTAAAGGTGTGTCGATGACATTTACTCATTATCAAATTTTAGGATGTAGTCTTTGAATGATTTATTCACTGTTTATTGATCTCCAATGATCGCAGAAGTGATGAAGTTCCTCCTAGAATGTTGACAGGAATAGTGTTTGTTCTGCTCATTTATTTTTCTACACCTTCCATGAGATGATTACTTCAGCTATCCAACAGTAATCATAATTTAATACAAGAGCATCTGACCACTGTGTTATGTCAATATAATTTTTAGCCATTTTATCATCAAGCCGGATAGTATCAGCTTTTCTCGTGTACCATACTTAGGAGTACCACTAAAGAGTTTTTATTTTGGCAACATCTTCAGTTTAAAGACTCCTTTGTTAGTTTTTAAATCCTTTTTTTATATTTATAGAACTTGCTTTCTGATTGCCTTGAGTAAAGGAAAAATTAGATGATTTTTTTTTTTTTTTTTTTTTTTTTTTTTTTAATTTTACTTTATTTTTCAGAATCTTGTGCTTAAAATAGTAGGGAGAAAATACATGAGTAAATACAGTATTCTTTTATGGTTATTGAAAAATTGCTGTAAATATATTATATACAGCATATATGTTTGTTTAACCTTCATTGGACATAATTTTGCAGTATTTATTGTACATTTTGCTTAAATAACATAGCTTGTTAACAGTGACGTAGACTAACATAGCTTTCCAGATTTCAAAATCTCTAAATCGTCAGTAGCTGATAAGTTTCCAGTCATTTGCCTTGGTTTGTTTTCTGAACATAACATTTCTTCTTAAACTATAACTGTTGAACTATGATTAAGAATTGTAATTTTATAGTGAAATATATTTTTAATTTGCATTACCTGTTAGAGATCCACCACTTTGCACATCTTCAGTTTGTGTGTAAAATGCATTCACACATTATATTTATTAAATCCATTGAAAATCCAAGTTTGTGGTATATACGTTTTTTAAGATTTGAGCAAAAGTGTTTATGAAATCGAAAATTTTCAAACATAATGAACTCTATTTTGGGCGGGGGAATTAACAAGTTGTTTACAAACAAGAATTATTTAAGGACACTCAACATTTAATTCGGAATTAAATTAACTTTAAAAAATTAAAACTATGTCTTACCATATTATATATTGTTGTAAAAGGAGTACAGTATTTAAATTAGGAATAATCCAATATATTGATATTATATCCTTTCAAAGGTTTCATTTTGATCACTTGTACTAGATCTTGGAAATGTGTGAAATTTGAAGTAACGCAATCGTAGAATTACCATTATGTAATATGCATATAATTAATTGTTTGCTTGGGAGTGAACATTAATAGTATTGGCTTGTTTAAAATTTTCTGAGTTTTAGAATTTGTATTGCGTGTGGGTTGATATGTTGAACCGCCATTTATGCTTTATGTTTATAAGCATTACTTAGTTGGAAGAATCAAATCATCGGTTTCTTGATTATTTGCGTTGTGTAACTAAAAATCAGTCATTGAAAAATTGATCATCATTTCATTTTGCAATAAAATTGTGAAGTAGTCTACTATAGATATTATAAATAATATGAAAACGAAAATACTAGGGTGGATTGGGAAGTTTTAACTGCCTCTATTTCTCTTTCCTGATAGATATGGCAATTGTGTACTGGATTCTATATTATGTATCATTGTATTTGCTGCTGAACAGCCATGACCATCAGTAGTTGGTCACAGTGAGTGTTGAATTTTATTGAGAAGAGATCTAATGAACACTTAAAATTTAACCATATGCACATGAAGATTAAGCATTTAGTCATGCTTCAATATTTCAGTAAGTCTAAGGATCATTTGTTTCGAGAAGAGTAGATTTGTTCAAGAAACTTATGGCCGGACTCCAGGATAGTGCTTATGTGCATGCTGTTGTAGCACTGACAGCACTGCCTGAAATGAAAATGTCAACATTAGAAAACCCTGCACATAGCCTGGTTTTAATGACCAGTTATTTCTAATCATTCTTAATAATGAAAAGGCCAATTGGACATGAAATTCTCAAGTGAGAAGGTTAAAAAAAAATGTATGATGAGTTGAATCATCTGATTCTGAATAAGGTAATCATCTCAAAACATTTTGTTCAGTCTATGTAATATTACCATGGTTTGCTATTTAAATCACAATGCATTAAATTTTGAATATCTGATAATTTAAGACTATAGATGCATCTACAGATGGCTTTTGAAGTGCATGGTTTCATTTGTATGCATTTCCTCTGTCCAAGTAAATGTATTACAGAATGTTTTTGGAGTGATACAAGAATATAGAGAAAATAGCAGACATATGACCATAGTTGAGAAGTTTAAAAAGAACGTACAAAGTCAATCATGAACACAGAATATGTTAAATTTGTTCTATCATTTATTCTCTGAAAATAAACAAAAATCTAGTGTACAAGTTCTGAAGCTCATATCATTAGTTTAACTATGTAATGACAGTCGGTCAACATTTTCATAAAATGATACAAAAATATGGTTAAAGCATTATTTATGGTACATAGCACAGAATCCATCTTTAGAGCACACAGCATAGAATATGAAAATGAGAATCTTGTGTTCTTATATTGCTTATACTAAATCGTGAATATCTTCCCATTTAGTAGGAAGTGAAGTGTTTTAAACATTTTAGTTCCACAAATGGTTAGCAGTAAAGCACATTTCCTATTTTCATCAGTCACATTGTTGGCTTCTAAGAAAAAAATTACTTATTTTCTATAGAGGTTCTGGGAATGTATTATAGCTGGTGTTCCATTGTCCCTTGAATGTGTCATATTTCATGGTTATTCCAGTAGCAGGCATTATTGAAATATAATCATCTTTTATTTGAAAGGCCTTTTTAAAAATGAAACTAGTTGTACTTTACTTTTCTAATTGCATGCAAACCCTTTGCATTTGAATCCCTTGTTCTATAATTTGCTCCCAGTTTAAATAATAAACAGTAGCAGTCGGTTTATATTTTAATAAGATAACACAGTATATGTTTAGAACAGTATTTAATACATATAACACATAATTAGGATGCAGAACATACTTTATTTGCTCGAAAATAAGACTTCTTACATTTTAACATAAATTTTAAGAAATATGAATGTAGGTGAAGTTTTGTCTTGCAGTATTTCTGAGAAAGAAATTTAAGTTTTTCAAAGGAAGAATATATAAGATCGTGGGAGATCCTTGAGATACCTTTGTGTTGTATCTCAAGGACAAATTCATTTCCTTCAGGAAGAGTGTTAGTGATGCAGTGTTACTTGTTTATTGTGAAGCATGCTAGTGATCACTCTAATGGATGCAAGCCTAAATTGAAATCGCTCTAAGGGATGTGTGTGTTACAAATAATGGTAGTTTTATTGTTTATAAATGTGGAAGTCTTTTATCACATTCTGCAGTTTTGTATAAGAAAACTCCAGTTTAAGACACCACCTAGAATAGAGCATAGAATATGAAAACAAAGAATCATGTTCTTAAGATGGCTGTACACAAAGCCTTGTAGATTAACTGGTGCTATTGATACTAATAAACACAAAAATAAACTATAAATGCATAAAATTAATTGTAGCACATGATATGTTTGTTATTTCAAGAATTTCCTAATAGTCCCCTGTTATTACTCTTATGGAGAGTGTATGCATTATAAGTGTCTGCTTACAGTGCCTCTGATGATGACAGCCAGAAGGTTTCGTTATACAGTACAAAGTCCGTAATCCGGACTCGTCGGGACTTCGGCGATTCCGGATTATAGATCATCAATTTAAATCTGGTAAGATGGCATGCAGAAATTATACAATTAAAAATATGAAACCATAATTTATGAAGTAAAGAACAATTATGATCTAAAGGGTATCAAAATGTGCAAAAGCTTAATATTTATTTGTTTACTTTATTAAGCGTTTCTTTCAATGTAAGTTGTTTAAGTTGCTTTTTTTTTTTTTTTTATGCTAGTACTTCCTCTTTAATTCTATAAACGGGCATAATTTCTTGTTTAGTTACAAAGTTCCACTGTTCAAGTCCTGTAATTGCTGTGTCGAGAATACCGACTAACTTGTCAATCGAAATTTTCTGTCACTATCGAAAGCGGTATTTTCTGGATCTAGAACCATACTACAGATTTTGCCTTCCGTTAATTGATTGATCATTGGGCATTGTCGTCACAATGAAAACCTTCTGTTATATTATTTTCATTTATAACCACTTCTCCACATTTCTTTACAAAATCCAATAGCTGGAAAATTTTATTTTAGTTTGCAATGTCCGAAAACCTTCAAATTCGCGGCTATCATCTTCATCGCCCTCACCAGGAAATATGGTAGCTGGCCATAAATTACACCAAGCCTTTTTTAACGTATCTGGAGACACATCCTCCCGCGATCTTGCGATGCTCCACACAGCAAATTTTATGCTAAAAAATTTCAAAAAGTGTTGAATAGCGTTGCCATTGTTCAAGAAATTTAACATAAATTTTTTAAATGCTACTTTATGTTTGCATTTCAATGCATGCACTGTTCCCATATCCATAGGCTGAATGATAGACGTACAATTTGGAGAGAAGAATAATACGCATACATTATCTTTCACTAAAATTTCTAAGTATATGCCAAATAGTTGTCAACAATCAAGATTTTTATTTGCACGATATATAACTGGGAAAATCGTTACTTCTTTAAATGCTCAAGGTCGTGCAAGTTTTCCGATTACGAAAAGTTTGCACTTTTGCATTCCTGCAGTATTTGCGCTCGCTAAAGTTGTTAGTCTTGCTTTGGAATCTTTGACACCAGTTGGAGTTTTTTCTGTAGAGGCTGGCAAGGTATTTTGTGGTACATATTGCCAGAATGGACCAGTTTCATCAGCGTTCTCAATTTGTTCTGGAGATAATTATTCACTAGTAATAAGTTCAATAAATTAATATGCAAAGTGTTCAGCAGCTTCAGTATCAGCTGAAGCTTTTTCCCCTGAAATTTTTAATTGTCTTATACCATGGCAATTTTTAAATTTGGTTAACCAACCTGTCGAATATGTGCACTCAGTGTTTAAGTTCATTTCTTCACGAAATATTTTGGCTTGAGCCATTAGCATTGGACCCATCAATGGCACACCCTCGCTGCGATGCTGTCTGGCCCATTCAATCATCGCTTTGTCATTATCGTCACTTTTAGTGTAACGAACCCTTTTTCTGTTATTCATAGCAAGTGGGGTTTCGAAATCCACAAAAAATTCAAAAAGTTCCTTTTTCTTTTTGCTTATGTCATATACAGTTGACTTTCCAATGTGATACTCCTCGCATAATTTTGAGACAGATATGCATTTATCCGTTTTTTGCAGCAATTCCTCTTTTTGTTTGATGGACATCAAAACATGCTTTCACTTTGTAGATCCTTTGGCACCTCATGCCTTAGAATCAGTAAAGATAATTTTAGCCTAGCTTATACCGTCTGTTATACGTTAAACGCGCATGTGTAAAGCA